TTTCCACAGAGCTCCTCTCCAGCAGGTCAGTTCCCAACCTGTACTGATGCTTATGGTTATTCCTTCCAAAATATATTGGAAAAAGGGAACATTTATTTTATCAGTCAATACTATAGGTTTTCCCATTTGGAGCATTTGCCAGTGGTCATCAGTGCGTTAGGATTCTCCTACAGTCTTTTCAGTCAGTCCTGTGATTTTTTTTTTTTCAGTAGAGGAAGGACTCGCATAAGTAAGCAGATAATTGGTAAGTACTAGTTGTCTTGCAGCTTTTCTCTGAGAGAAGACAGTGTCTGCTCTGGAGTTCTGCAATGGAGACAGAAGTTTCCTTCTCCTTGTTCCAAGGGCTTTTCCTCCATTTTTACAAAATGTGCAGAATACAAGGCACACCCACAAAAAGGCCTCTCATCTTAACAGTGTTGTTACCTCCTCTGCTGGCATGGTATTCACACCAGTTTTTATCATCCAGTGTTGATGGCAGGACTCCCTTTGGCTCGCATCTGTTTCTGGGACCTCTCTTTGGAGTACATACAATAGTAAGGAGGAAAAAACGATGTAAAATCCAGACAGCCCTTTGTACTTTGAATTGTTCTGACATCCCTTGAGACTCTGGCATTTGCCTAGCAGTTGTTCTGCTAAATCTGTTTTGCTCTTCTGCTAGGCCTATGGAATTGAATGATCATTTAGGCTTTAACAAAGCTAGGGGAATTAGAGTAGCCTCAAACTGGAAAACTGTACAAGAGCCACAGGGCTTGTCCTCAAGCCTTGCCAACATAACACCCCATCCTTGTGTCATCCTGATGCTAGAAGCTTCCCTGTCATGATCTCCCGCTATGGATTTCAGTTCACTGGGACGATATTCTGAGCAAGTTCACTCATTTTGCAGGAAGTACAGGAGAGATAATGAGCGTCGGTGGAAGAAATGGTCCCATATACCACCTGAGGAAATTTTGCCTCTGGAGACCAGTGAGACAAGTTATGTTAGTTTGAAGGTAAGAGAAGCACAATGCTCAAAGCTGGGTCTTAGATTTTGTCTTCTAATGACCACCAATGCTGGGGTGTTGGCATGTGTTTTGCTGTATATTTTACCAATTAACAAGGGTCAACAGAAAGGACACTGGCATCAACCAAAAGAGTAAGCTCATTTTACAGATTGTCTTAAAATAATACAGATAGGAAATAATGTAGTGAGCAATCAGAATAAGTTAAGTATATTGGTAAGTGACAACACAAAGTTAGGCAATGCATCTAATCATTACTATATAAAGTTAGCAATAGTGATTAAGAAAGATACATCACCAATTGCCCTATTTACCGTCATCCAGAGCTGCAGTCACTGGGGTGCCTTGGAGCAGCGAAGGTTTGGAGAACCTCTCCCTGGCAATTGGGAAGTCCTGCGTAGTGCATCCACCTGCAGATGAGGCCATCAAAGAGTTGCTGCACAGTGGTCCAGCTTTAGAGTGCTTACTTATCAAACTCTGCAAGTCAGGATGACTTGCATTTTCCTTTGTGCGGAAATATCTGTCACATCATCCTGTAGGTTGGATTCTGCCCAAAGTCTGGCCAGTCCTTGGGGAGAAATCCAAGGGAGTATCTCTATCCTTGTGGTTTTAGACATTTATTCCTTAACTGAGATTTGTCTGGTCTCACCATCTATTTCAGTCCTAACCAAGGACATTTGCTGATTACCCATATTATTACTTTTGCGGATGGCTGCTAAAAAGTTGCTGGTTGCTGTTGCACTATAAATGTTGTAACAAATATAGTCTTTACAGGGTCCATCTAGAGGTCAACAATTAGCTTAGACTTGTTACCCAGGCCTTGGCATGTCAGCATGCTCCAACTATGCAGGCTATGGCTCTGGTAGAACTATGATCTGTTAAATTTTTTTTTTAAAATTTTTTTTAAACCCTCACTTGCTGTTTTGAAGAAAAAAGAGATTGTTCCCTATCTATCATTCCCTAATAGAATATATCTGTTCCCCAGCAGTAAAGCTCATTTTGTGATGAGGGAATGGGCTGAGTATTGATTTCCAGTCTCTTCCTGTTGCAAATTATTTCCATGTGCTTTGTTATACCTCTGTAACTCTCAAGAGCATGAAAGCAGCAGGTGCAGGCTCTGGCAGCTGTGGGAGTGGCATGGATGTTCCACACTTGCTGTGGCATGTAGTGGCCCTCCCTTAAGAGAGAGGCTTATGCTTCTCTGTGTGGCATACACTGACAGTACTTATCTCTCTGGACCTGACAAGTGGTGAGTAGGTGATAATTGCAAGTTAATCATTCTTCTTTGTTCTCAGATCGATGAAGATAAGAGGCGTGACACCACGCAGAGACTTCGCCAAGGCAAATATGACAAGAAGGTAACCTGACTGCAGTGTCCACACTCCCTTCCTCCTTTTAGGAGGGCTCTTTCAGGGAGGAGGTCATTCCTCTCTAGAGGAATTGAGGAATTGAGGGGTTGAGGAATCTCAACCTTGCAAACTGGCTTGATCTTGTAGAAGAAATAAGCCATTTATTCCCTATCAAGTGCTTTGCATTTTGCTTACTGACGGGAGACAAAATATGAGACTCCATGAACTCCCAGCATAGTCCAGAGCTGCAGAAGCAGAGGGAACAGAAATCTGGTACATTCTGGTGCAGAGGAGATTAACAGATTAATGGAGGACAGACAATTTACATGTCAATTCTTGTACATTCAGCAGAGCTATCTGCCTGACTAAGACATATTCATATTGTGTTTAAAATTTTCACCATTGACAGTTCTAAATAGTTCCTATCTACCTGGTAAATCTTTTTAAGGAAATATAACTCCATTACTTATTACTCCATTAACTGAAACTCCAACAGCGAAGCAGTAGGCAGGTGTTTCTGAAGTATTTCTTTGTACAAACATTTCTTGGAAAAGAAGGATGAATCCTGGTGTACTAAACCTATGATTCTTTTCCCACTGTTATTTTTTCTTCAGGTGGTGATCCTAAAGGATCTCAAAAACAACGATGGCAATTTCTCAGAGAAGCAAAAAATAGAACTGAACAAGGTAACTGTTGCAAATAGCAACTGGACACTGCAGGGTGGGATGGAGCCTATGAGTGAAGTCATTGCTTTCTACTGTCAATTCCAACAGCCATGTGCTTGTGCATGTTTATGAGGTGGATGGGTAATAAGTTCCTCAAAGGATACTGCTTGGTGAATTTTTTCTTTGTGTGTGTGATCTCATCACCAGTTCACGGTCTGAATTGTATGTCAGTGAAGCTGAGGATGGATGAAGTAATTCATGCTCTGTCATATGGCCTTGCTAAATACATTTTTATAGCTGATGCTAAAAGGCAAGGCACTCCTTTTGCCCATATCATGCTAATTCATTAGTAGCAGAATGTTTTAGTTAAATCTGATTATTGAATGCCAAGTGCAGCTCTTTAAACATAAGTAACTATCTGCTGACTTGTGCATACAGGCTCTTCCAACGTGAGAGATTAATTTGGCTGCAGTACTGCATCTTTTTTGAATGAATAGTTTTCCTTTTTACACAATGCAGCTATACTGTGAATTCAATAAGCTCTAAAAATATCTCAAAGTAAAATACAGTTGTCTGTATGAATGGACAAAGTCCATAATATCATGCAGCATCATTACATTTTTATTACTTGCTCATTTACTGCCTGATTCGCAACGTTCTGTCACTCATAATGGTTATTCTGGTCAACTGGGAATTTTGAATAGAGAGGCAATAATGAAGACTATAGTGGGCCCTGGAATTGACTTGTAGTAGCCAACAGCAGCCATTCATCTCCCTAATCCAGAAGGCTCTGGAATGACAAATGTCTTCCAAGTACTTCACTCAGTGCCTTAGTACACACTGGTTTAAAGGAAATTCACACATCTTATCAGGGTCTGAGATAAAAAGCCACGTCACACAAGTATCCTTGACCTGTGTTTCTGTACTAACAATGGTTGCTTTTAAAAATACATGCAATGTTTCTGCTCCAGCTCCTACAGATTGATTATTACAACCTGACCAAGTTCTATGGCACTGTGAAGATAGACACCATGATCTTTGGGGTGATTGAGTACTGCGAAAGAGGTTCTCTGCGGGTAAAGAATTTTGCAGGTCTCCTTCCACCTCCTAATTATCAATTTTCAAAGTAAAAAAAAAATTAAAAATCCCGATCTCTATGTTTCTGGCCCTTATGTGGCAGCAAAGGACTAAGCACATGGTGGCAGGTTTCTGACTCTCAGTTCCCTCTCCCTTGCTCAGTTGTCCACAGCCTTCCCCACGTGTTGCTGTGGCTGCCATCAGTTTGATGGTTCTCAGCAGCCTGAGGATGAGGTGAGGTGCAAGCAAGGAAAAGTACAGGCAGAGCTCTGCTCAGGTAACAGCAACAGCCAGTGTTTGCATTGTGGCCCCTATTGGGAGCATACAGGATATATTTTTTTCTTTATTTTCCAAGCTGTAGCTGTTGTCTCTGCTGATCCCTTTGTAGACCCCACAGTGCCCCAGGGTGTGAAAGAACAGATTTGAAAATATGTTTGATATTAGTAAGGGACAAGCAGTTTGAGTCCGGAACATGGCAAATCTGGTGTCGTAAGGGACAACAGCCCTTAATTTCTATTTATAAAAGAAATAGTAAATTGATGCCTGGCAAGAGTTATGTAAAGACTTATGGTTTGTTACTACCAATATTATTTCAGTGTTAATCATGAAGTCATGGTGGCATCAGCTCTTCTGCAGGCACACATTGTCTCTTCTTTTGAGTTCATACAACGACTTTCATCAGTAGCAGTGGTCTCTGGAACAAAACCACAGCAAGGCAGCAAAATAACAGCTCTATCTCTTGTTCTTTTCTTGTAAACTGGCATACTCATAGAGGTTTACTTTTAGCAATGGAAATAATGGTGGCTGGAAGAACTGTAAATGACTGGCACTTTAAGATAAAGGAACAGTCTACTTTGAACTTGTAAAGCCATGAGTAAATTGGTAAGAAATGAACTGTGAGCACAAACCACAGAAGTTCCTTTCTTTTCCTCTTGCACACTTTGCCCATTTCCGCCTCAGCTATTTGGCTTTATTAAAGACTCATCTTCAAAAGCAATTCGCTATTTACCTTTAATTAGACAAAACCCTCTTTTCTGGAGTACTCAATTTTCTAGCTCTGTATAAACCCAAAATTTATTTAATAGTCCCTGGTTTTGGATTCAACTCCTGCTCTATAGCGCATGTACTCCCTATAAAAAATGAAGGGCTACCCATTTCAGTCACTGGTTGAAAGGCTGTGAGATTTAGATACTCATATCCCATCCTCTCCTTTTTCCCTGATGCCATTCTTTTCTTCTCTTTACAGGATGTTTTAAATGATAAAATATCCTACCCTGATGGCACGTTCATGGATTGGGAATTCAAAATCTCTGTCATGTACGATATTGCCAAGGTAAGAGGGCTGCTGACAGTGTTAATCACCCTGTCTTGTCTTGCAAAATGGACCCCCTGGAGAATGGCAGCTCTTGGGGCCTTCTCATGTCCTTGCTAGAGCATGTATGCCTTTCCACTCTTTCTTCCTCTGGGGATAGGTGTATGAGGCAGGAGGAGCTAGTGGCTCTAAAAACTGAAGGGCGAAATGGGAGCCAGAGATGGCTTTGGGCTATTTATAATAAAAAAAGTATTCCTCAAAGAAATGTGACCCAAAGATCAGAGGGTTCCAATCTGTTGACAAGTGAGTCTCATTAGTAGGGCCTTCACAGTCACAAGACCTGCAAAACACCCTGCTCTCTGGCCTCAGGTAAGGCATATAAAGGAAAACTGTGTTTTTTCAAAACGGTGGAACTATTCCAATTTGTATACAGAGACAGGATAAACTTCCTCTAAATAAACTGTTTATTTTGCATCCTGATTTTCTCACTCACTAGAGTGAGAAACTAGAAACTAAAGCTATCCATTTCAGGCAGTTCAAGAGGGAAAAAATTAATCCTGTACAGAAACCAAGACTGATTTTCAGTAGCTTTCTATAGATCTTTAAATTTCAGCTCCTTGTGGTAGGAAGACTCAATATGAATGGTAAAGGAAATTCAGTTCTATATTAGAGACTTGTATCTGTTTAGCTGATAGCTGAGGAACCTTTATAATTCACAGGTGTAATAATTCATTATACCTCTGTAGGTAATGTAGAGAATTACCTCTGCCTTTTTGCTACTGCTCAGCTGCTCTCCTCTTCCTATTGCTG